AATCGTTGTGCAAAGGTAGATTTTTCTTTTTCATTTGGCTTAACTGTCGAAGTTAAATTGTTGGGAGACTGGATTATGCTGTTGTATGTAACTAAATATTTTCGTTTAGGATATCGAAGTAGTCGACATGTTACTCCCTACGAATTTCCGCTATCTTGCCATGTGTGTACTGCAGGTCAGAACTTCTACTTGTCTGTAAATCGGTCTCCAGAGGTGTTTTGACAGCGTGGACTCAAATATCGCCACCGTCCAGCAAGGAACCGCCTGACGCCCCTGCCACAGTCGCCCACCTTCGAATCACCTTTTTTGGTGAAAGTTTGTCCTCCAATTGTAATTGGCCATATGAACACGGAAATCACATCAACGGGTGACAAGGCAGTCAAGAGTACAAGAGAGATTTCGCAGTCAGTGAAGCACTGCTGCCAAACTCTGGTCGTTGAAGGAATTCCCTCCCCTTCCTCGGGCTTGAAACGCGCTGTGAGCGCGCCGTGTGCACCAAGAGTTGCAGTCAGGGTGGTAAAACGTACATCATGCGGACCATGTCGTAGGGAAATTACTGGGACTTAAAAGTACGTCAAACTTGGAAGACTAAAAAAAGCAGGCGGACTACGATAGCAACAATCTCTCGGACTGCGAAATCTTTCTTGCGCCAAGGTTGAGAGAAAGGTGGGGGGGGGTATACGTTACAGCGCGTCCTGTTACTCTAGTCTGCCCCGAAGCGATCCCTTCCTCGGCTACTGAGCCTTAGGGAAGGGAAGGAAGGATCACTACTGCAGCCAATCCAAAAGAGTGCTGCCCTGTCTCGTCGTTTTTCTCTAACTGATAGCGTGGTGCTGCGCCAGGCGGTTTCGTGCAAAGCGGCTGTTTGTGTTCAGGTGGTCAAACCACCCCTGAAAACGGATATTTGAAGGCACGGTCCGCGATCAGGTATCGAAGTTGAAAATATGGCGTCAGGAGGTTAGAGTGGTCCGCGACGAACAACCTTGTACCGGTTTCGCGGCAAAAAATTCTAAGGGAGGGGCGCTATAGCGCAATATAGGTTCAGTGGTTCCTCCTTTTTTCCAGTGACTCCGCCTCCAGACTCCGCCCCAATGCCCGGCTTTCAGTGAAACGAGATTGCAGGACGAAAAAGCATGAAAATCGTCACTTGTACGATCGTAGAGTTCTTATCGGTGAATCAGCTGTGCGTATGAGGGCGTAGTGTGGGAGATAGAGTTAATTGGGCACGTACAAACTGGGATCAAAATGGGGTTCTATCTAGGGCAGGGGCATGTGTGCTTTTTTTTCTTCACTGTCGGGTTACTCAACCCCTTGTCGTCTGAATGGAATCCCCCTAATCCATCCAATCCATATCTGAGATGGTGAATATCGCGGGTTCTGCCTTTAGCTAAATTCGCTCTCGAAGAAAATGTCGGTGAAGAACTGCGAACTGCCTCATTTCGCAAGACTGGGCATGAAGGGTAAGTAGCGCCAAGGTTTTATCATGAGCGGTGGAATCTCAGTAAAGAGACCTTCAGCGATTACCTTCACATTTGAACTCTTTATAGGAAGCATAGTCGCAGCCACATAGAGCGCTTCCTCTCGCCACTCTCAGGATGGTAGGGGCTTGCGGTGGGTGTAAAGTCGCCGGTGGCAAGTATACATGCTCGTTTGCGATCTGCTAGTGCATGGCGTTGCCAATGGTCCCCTGCATTCGTGGGTACGACTGTGCGTCTTTCGGCCGCTCCCCGAACGTCTCTGCCTGCCTATTCATCGTATGCTCATCCAGTGCTCAAATCCATGTGACGGCATATTTGGTTTGTTTTCGACGATTTGTTCCGCCCTTCGAGCCGTGTTCTAAGCCTACTTTCATTTTCAGGAAACATTCCATTATGCATTGGCCGCATCCAAAAAGTAAAGCGTTATTCCCTAAGTCTTAAGTCCACCGAGTTGGAATTTTGATATATGTTTCTGTTCGGAAGCCTCTATCTACATTGTCGTTTGATATTGGGATCAGGGCACGTTCTGCCGCCGAGGAAATTTTCGAAAAGCAATACCCCCCATTCTGGTGCGACAACCCCTCCCCCTTCCCCGTCCTACCTAGTATCTTTGCCAATTTCCCGAGTTCGTATCTTTGGCTTCCCATTCTACCGTGAAATATTTTCACCGTCTTCCCTCCGAATTTTCTCCATCGACCCCCCCCAACGAGAAGGCAACCGCGGAAAAAATTTTATGTAAGGCGACTAATTTCTTAGAAAGGCAGTTACATTCCTCCCAATGAAACAGGAAAAATCAGCTAAAAAGTTCTCCCTCAGACGAAATGGACCCCCCTTTCCTGCTAGCGACGCAAATACGACCCCCCAGTGGGACATCCCAACGTACGCACTGAAGTAATTAAAACCAGAAACCAAGGAGTGGTTGTTTGCAGAATGTATGATCGGTTTTTCTTCAGGTTTATTGCACCACTGGTAGTTATCGTATATCAAACGCCAATATCTTGCGTGTGTTAAGTTGTGCGCTCAATGATTCTAATATATACTTCTTTTTGCGGTTAAGCTCGAGGTGCGGGTAACGGCTATGTGCATATGCATTTTGGAAGTCACGGTATGTCTTATAACATTTGGAACTCTTCCGATCTTGTATTTTCAGCGATTCTACGTTCCAACTTCTCGCCAGCTTAAACGACTTGAAAGCACCCATCGATCACCGATTTATTCGCAGTTCGGAGAATCCATTCAGGGTGTTGCTTCTATACGAGCGTTTGGCAAGGTAGTCGTTAGGTATTTCGCTGTTTTTACCTGTCCCTAAGGCTACACTGAGGATTAGAATTGAGGGGACGGACAGACAGCTCGTCGACATAGTTCTCAAGTGAGTAACTTTACTCTGGAGAAAAACTGGTGAGCACTGGAGAAATGCAGTGATGTTGAAATTATCTAACTGTACGACTGACATGAGTGCCGATCAAATTCGCAGGTTGAAATTTCCCAAGGTCTGGTGTAATTTCTCTCGAGACCAGATACGGCCTGAACCTTCCACAGCGACCCTACATCCCCCGTTGGGCTTCTCCCACCGTACTGTACTCTGTGCAGGCCTCGTCACAAATCTATGTGATCACGGTGGTAATTGCCTCTTCAAGGTGGAAGAATTTCGAGCAGCTTCTGGTGCCATTGTCGACGCATTCATCAGATGCAAATATTCCAACTACGTATCAAATCGCTGGCTATCAATACGTTTGGAATTTATAGGTAATTTGGTGGTGAGTAATTAGTGGATTTTATGAGACACCCACCAATTACTTTTATAGTAGTCAGTTTCCAGATATTCTTTGCTGCTCTATTTGCCGTCATTTCCAAAGAGCTTGGATGGGTGACCAGTCCTGGTATAATTGGTGTATCAATATCATATGCTCTAAATGTATGTTTAAACACTGAAATGCAAGAATGACTTTGGGCACAGTTCGGTGACGGGGGGGCATTTTGCACTTTTGCTACTTCCCATCGACGTGTCGAGCCATCTAGAGAGCTATTTCATGAGCTTACAAGAGTTGACAGGTTTTACCATGGTAGCTCGATGAGCTTGCTCCAGCTTCACAAGCATCACAGGTTTCAGCAGAGTGCGACTTGTAAACCTGAAGTAGCGAACAAGCCGAAGTGCAACATGCCCCCTCCCGTTACCGAACTGCACCTAATTTTTTGCATCTAGTTTATTAAGCACAGTTCAGGTAACCGAAGTTCTCAACTTCGCTATACGTCAAATAAGTGAAATTGAAGCAAACATTGTTGCCATAGAAAGGATTGATGAGTACACGAATACACCAACTGAAGTAAGTGACGATATGTAATTCTACCTAAATGCATTGGAAGTTCATTAAAAATCGCCCATTATAGGCAGCCTGGGAAATTCCAGAGGCGAAACCGTTACCCGGCTGGCCATTTTTGGGCGGTGTGAATTTCGTCGACTATTCAACGAGGTGAGCGTTTCATAGTCAGAGAGGTTGATTTCAACATCTTGGCCCAGAAAAGTTAGAGGAATACGTGCTAGGTTTGGATAGATCCGTGTCACCTTCCAAGGATGCATCTTTCGCTCGGGTTTATCAGAATC